TAGAACAGTGGACACATCCCCTCTGTTCAGCTGTAGGCTCGTTAAGGGCAAGGACTATGCATACTTTTTATACCCCATAGGCCCAGCACATAGTAGGACGTGTATACATATTCGAATGAAATAATTATTATTTTATGTGCCCCTCCTTCTTCCTTCAACCTAGCCAGAGTCTACATGAAGAGGTACAGTTGTTAAGAGTACAAGTTTTCAGATCACACAGTTTTGAACTTTGGTTCTGCCACTTACTTCCTGTGTGACCTTTGGCAAATTACTTGACAAGTCTGTATCTCATGTATACCATGAAGAAAATAAATATCTACTTCATAGAATTAAATGAGAAATTATAGTAAAACACAATGCCTGTCACAGCTAAGTGCCTGAACAGTAATTATTGCTGCTACTACTACTACTACTACTACTACTACTACTACTACTACTACTACTATGACGACGTTTCTTTTGGAAAAGGAGGCATACGTGCCCCCCACCCCGCCATTCTGATGGGAATTAATGAGTGGCTTGGTGAGAGGGAGTGTGATACATCCACAATAGGGAATGGAACTCTTTCGAGGAAGATTTCCTAGAGTTGGAAAAGCAAGAGACAAGTGAGCAAGAGAAACTGAATCAGCCATAAATAAAGTGGGAAGTTGGTGACATTTGTTTGTGGAGACCCCTCCCAAGTCCAGGTCATTACCTCACACTCCAGTTTAGGCTCTTACTGATGTGCCCAGACCAGGCCTGCCATGTTTTCTGTCAGTGCTACAGAACTTTCCTCTCTCCTCTTCTCACACCAAACTTCACTCGCTCTGTGTGGTCTAGGCTCTTGGGAATCAATCAGGAACTAATTTTCTAATCTGAAGTCAGATATTAACGGGCTGCTAATAGTTTCTTGTTTCCTCATTGCACAGCGTTTTGAGCACCTTAACTTATGAGACTGACTTGTGAAAATTGCAGGTCTGGGTGGTGCTGAAGGCAAGAAGGGGGAAGGTCTTTGGGGGTAGAAAACCTTCCCATGATGTAAGGCAACTGCCTACTCAGACTGGGTGGAGTGAGCCTTGAACAGAAGAAAAGAATATTGAAGTGGACTAGGATGGTCCTTCCCAGTAAACTCCTTTGATGTCCTGAAGTGCTAAAAACCACAATAAACAGCTAAACGTTGCAACCATCCCCTTTAGCATTCACACTCACTATCACTCTCATTGACAGTATCTCTTTTGATCCTTTCTCTTTTGAGGCTTTCCCAACCCCTGCCTGCCTGCCTCAGATCCAGTCTGCTGCTACCTGCAGTTGCCACCAGCTGGTAGATGAGACTCTTAGTTTTCACCATAGTTGGGCCTCCATTCCCATTTCAGGCTTGCCTCTCTCCAGTGATCTACCACCAATGGACATTTCTTGAGCACCCACCATGTGTAAGGTCCTGTCTTCCCTCCTGGCTACTACTGAGATTGTGTAATGTGTGGAGCTTTATGAACAAATGTGTCACTCATTATCTCACAGAAGGAGATATATTTGGACTAGTTTTCAAGAAAGAAGAGAGCTTTCAATTCATTTACCCACCTGTTCCTTTAAAAAACAAAATGTGCAAACACTAAGGGTAACGAATCATCCTGGCTTGCTCAGGACTGAGGAGTTTACTGGAATGTTCAGGAAGCATGGGAGTCCTGGACAAACCACGATGGTTGGTTACCCTCTAACATATATTGACTGCCCACTGTTTACCTAGCATGACTTTAGGCATTGATGGGTTGCCGGGATTAATTAAATGAATGCCAGAGCAAGTGATACTTTAAGGTACAAATATACTAGTAAATATATAATAACTAGCTCTCAAGGGGAGAGGGAAGGATGTCACTGATTTATAGCATTTGTCAATTTCTGCGGCATAAACACTCCTACTAGGGCCAATTTCAAGCTACCAACTTGATGTCACTGGATGTCGAATAGAGAAAAGATGCAGAGTAGAACACAATTATTTAACATCTCCACCACACAGATACAATAGATGTCAATAACCTCAAGAGCACAGATGATAGTTAAATGTAGTAAAATAATTAGGAAGTGATGGGTTTAGAGTATTTATTACATTTATTTTAATAAAATTTATTTAATTGCAAGCTTATATCATTTAATTTCTAGTAATGGCTTTGTTTAATAACTGACTTGCAAAATTCCTCAAAATTTAACCATTGACTTTCATGAGTCAGTATGAGCCAGTTCCAGCACATCACTGAAACAACCCTGGGAAAGTCTCACCTTTTCATCATGCACATGTCTCTTTCCCACTGGAATGCCACAAGACTAAAAACCCACCATTTGCAATCTATTCCTTCAATCTAAGCTCTGCTTTTGGTATACTAAGAAGAGCAAGACCTGGAATAAGGACACTTATTCTAATCCCAGTCTTATTATGAACTGGCCACGTAACCTTGACCTCTTTGCACACTAGATTCTTATCTGTAGAATATGGGGTTATGGAGGCTAGACAATTATTCTTAAATGTTTCAGGGGTGTGTCTGTGTGTGTGTGTGTGTGTGTGTGTGTGTGTACAGCCTTGTTGAAGTACAATTCACACATAAAAAGCTAGACATATTAAGAGTAGTTTGGTGAGTTTGCCTGAAATCATCACCACAAATAAGATAATGAGCATGTCCATCACTCCCAAATGTTTTCTTGTGCCCATTCATAAATGCATCCCTTTCTCTCCCAACACTGTCACTAGGTAACCACCAATCTGCTCTATCACTATAGAATGCTTTGAATTTTCTCGAATTTTATAAAAATGGAATCATACAGTATGTCTGTATTGTGTTTGTGTTTATTATTTCCTTTCTTTTGCTTACATTGAATTAAACTTCATATTTTTCTAGTTTCTCATTGAGAAAGCTGAGGTCATTGATTTAAGAAATTTTTGTTCTAATATAGCAGTTTTAGTGCTATAAATTTCCCTCTAGCCACTGCATTAGCTATATCCCACAAATTTGTATGTCTCATGTTTTCATTTTCACTCATTTTAAAATGTTTTCTAATTTATTTTGAGACTTACTCTTGAGCCATGGATTATTTAGAAATGTGTTTATTTTCCAAATATTTGGACGATTTTCCATATTTTTCTTTTACTGATTTTTAATTTAACTCTATTGTGGTCAAAGAACATACTTTGCATGACTTGAATCCTTTAACTTTATTGAAACATGTTATATGACCAGATATGGCCTATCTTGGTAAATGTTCAATGTACACATGTAAAGAATGTTTTCTGTTGTTGGGTTGAGTATTGTATAGATGTCAAATAGATCCAATTTATTATTTGTGTTGTTTGAATCTTCTATATTCTTACTTATTTTCTGTCTCCTTGGTCTATCAGTTATTGAGAGAGGTTGGACTCTGATTAAAATTGTGGATTTGTCTATTTCTCCTTGTTCAGTCAGTTTTTCCTTCATGTATTTTGAATTTGTTACTCAGATGTATATATATTTAAGATTATGTCCTCATGATGAATTAACCGCTTTATTATTATGAAATGACCCTCTTTATCTCTGCTGATATAATTTGTATTGTAATCTACTTTCTCTGGTAATAATATAGTCACTCTCGGTTTTTATTTTAATTTTTTTTAATTTTTTTTTATTTTTTAAAGATTTTTATTGGGGAATTGGGGGGATGGGAACAGCACTGGGGAATTGGGGAAGGGGAACAGACAAGTTGATGTTGTTTTGTTCTTCAGTCTAGATGTGGAGGACGTTGCTTCACTGGCCCAAGTTGGCACCATCTTTGCGCTCTTCCCGGGCGAGGCAGATCAGTCGCTGGCTTCTGGACGGCTGCTCACTGCGGCTCCTCCCGCTCACGCTGGCTGCTGGCTACACATGGTAGCCCATGGCAACTCACTGCCACAGGGGCTGCAGCCTATGCCGTCGCCGGCGACTCATGGCAGCCCAGCTCCAGGTTGAGCTGTTGTTCATCATCTTAGCTGTAGAGGACAGTGTCACTGGCCCTCATATGTGGGATCCGAACCGGGGCCCTCTAGCATCCCAAGCCAGTTCTTAACCATTGCGCCACTCGGCCGGCCCTGCTTTTTAAAAATTAATGTTAACATGGTGTATGTTTTCCATATCTTTTTTTTTTAATTGAGGAACAGTGCGTTTTTTCTAGGACCCATCAGCTCCAAGTCACGTAGTTGTTTCGATCTAGTTGTGAAGAGCGCAGCTCAGCTCCAAGTCCAGTCGCCGTTTGCACTCTAGTTGCAGGGGGCGCAGCTCACTGGCCCATGTGGGAATCAAACCAGCAACCTTGTTGTTCAGAGCATGCGCTCTAACCAACTGAGCCACCCGGCCGCCCTGTTGTCTCTATCTTTTGTGTTTAACCTATTTGTGTTTTGATATTTAAAGTGGGTTTCCTACAGGCAGCATATGGTTGGGTCCTTAAAATTTGTTTTCCATTCTACTACCAATCTCAGTCTTTTAATTGGATTGCTGTGAGACCATTGACTTCAATAAGACTATTGATATGGTTCTGTTTAAAACTACCATCTTGCTATTTGTTTATTTGTTTGAACTCTGCCTGTTACCCAATGTCTGGGAACTATCATTTCATATATTTGTCCATTTTTTTAATTGTTAATGTGGGAAGGTAAATCCACTCATTGTTAGCTCATCATTGCTGGAAAGAGAAGACTTCCATATTTTGCTTTCCATACTGATTTGTTATTTATATTATGGACATTAGCTTTGTCATTAGATGTGTGCCAAATATGTTCTTCCAGTTCATCACTAGTCTTTTAATTTTATTTATGGTATAATTTTTTAATAAAGAGACTTACAATTTTGATGTCAAATCTTTAATTCTTTTCCTTTGGGTTTTTATGTCATGTTTATAAATGCCTGCCCTATATTTTACTCTAAATTATCATGTTTTAAAAGGAAAAAAAAACTCCTCAGTATGAATAAGTTTTATTTTTAACATCAAGTTTATTAATTATAAAAGTAATATATGCACATGGTAAAGACATCAAGTAAAACGGAAGGCTATAGATGAAAATGAAAGTTCCTTTCCTCTTCTCCCATGGCTCCTGCTTGCCCAATTGCTCTTGCCTAGTTGCATCTGTTAGCAACTCTGTGTATATATCCTTCCATACATATTATTCTGGACACATATTATACATACACATGCATGTTTATCTTTTGTACACAAACAGGATACACACACAGCTCAGCAATTTTTCATTTAACATTATGTCTTTGAGTTCTTAATGTGATGGAGTTTTATCAGATATTTATCAGACGGACAGAGGGACCGGACCTGGGCAGTCAGAGAACACAGTAGGGGAATACACAGGAAAAGGCATATTCATCTCTGTAAGGCCAACACTTAGCACAAAACCTGGCATGTAATAAATGCTCAATAAATAAGTGTTAAATAATTAAAGGGAAGTAAGAACTTGAGAAAACTGCTATCCTGACCATTCTTCTCATGCCAGACCTGGTCTCCTGCCTAAAAGTTACCATTGTGCAGGGCGGTAAGGAACAACACAAGATGATGAAGACATGGAGCAGCTTGCAATAACTTCCTTGCAATAACTCTCACTTGCAATAACTTCCCATGGTGTGTCACTCCCCCAACTAGAATCACTGCCTCCAGCATACACATTTACTTTAAATGCACAGTTCACACTGACTGCACAGCAAAATATCTGAGAGCTCAAAAACTACACAGCTGAGTTACAGGTATACATTCATAGCTACCATTAATCGGTAACTACTGTGGGGGAGGCACCATGTTGGAAACAGCCTTGCAAGGATAATGTCAAGTTATCCCCATTTTATCAATGAGAAAATAGAGGCTCCAAATATCCAAATGACTTACTCAGGGTCACACAGCTAGTCAAGCAGCTTTCAGAGACATCTCTACACCTTAATCAGGTAAATCTACTTTTCTGTGAATCCCACACCACATTCTCTCCTACTTCATGTACTTCATGCTATTTTCCTTGCCTAGCATTCCCTCTCTCCACCTGCCCTATCTGGTGTTTTTGTGGAAGCTAGGCAGAGACAGGAGCATGGGGTTGTGCAAGATCTATGCTAGGCTACACAATATGCTGTCCGAGATGAGGAGTGAGTCACTCATAGGAGTCCATGAACAAGAACGAACACTTGGGGGAGGTATTCAAAGTTTGAAAATGGAGTTGATCCTGGGAACTAGAGCACCCTCCTGGGATATGAATACTGTGGCAGCTCAAGAAACTCTACTGCAAACATTTCTCTCTCCCTAGGTGCTTTTAGTGAGCTGCTCACAAAACAGCCCTGTTGCCTGCAGTCTTACAGTCACTGTAAGAGCCAGTACGTCTCCCCCATCTCAATCCTATTCAAGGCCCTTATCACGGCTCACCTCCTCGAAGCTTTTCCCTATTAACTCATTCCTCTCTCTCCTTCTGTGAGTTAGTTTTACTGAAAATCAGCACTGTAAGATATAACATGTGTTTGTATACCCTTTTGTCCTTTAATCATTTACAGTGTCTTGTCTCTTTTAAGTGGATTCATTCACCTATCTTTTTTCTATAATTTCCCTGCCTGGTCTGGGTATTAGGAAATTGGGCTGGATTCAAGTGCCAACTCTCCCACTAATGAGCTGTGTGACCTGAAGTTAGTCATAACCTCTCTGAGTCTCATCTTCTGACCTTCCAGGTTTTTTGCAAAAACACAGTAAACATTGTAACACAATATATAAATGTAAGGTATTACTGCTGTGGACATTTCAACGAAGGTGTGCCTGCCTTTTACATCCTACTTAGTGGATGGTTCTATGTAAGAAATAGCAATCACTGTGGCTTATGTCAGACTAGTGTCCTCAGCAAAGGCTAACAGGTTTAAAACAAGAATATTGCACAACTGTTAAAGATGGTGCCAGATGGTGGGAATCTATATGCATCTGTTTTGGGGATCTCCTTGGAAACTACCAGGTGAATTCAGGCTTGCTCACTTTTAAAGCTTCCATCTTTCTGAATGTTTCTTCATGTAAATGATTCGTGTCAATGCTATGAAAAATGAAAAGAATCTTGCGTCAAGTCAGGCCAACAGATGCCTTCAGTAGCTGTCCTATTCTTAAGGATAAGATTCCCATTCACACTTCCTCCCTGGCACCACTCAGTTACTTCACCCACTCAGCTATCTACCTCCTCCCTCAGCCTCAGCTCCTCTCTTGGGTCTCAAAAGAGAAAATGCTTAACTTCCTCTTGGACTCTCACTCCTGTCCCTCCCTGCCTTTGTCCAAGACCCTGCTCCACTAGTCCATTGGTTCCTGCTCCTGTAGTTGTAACCGCTCCCCTTCTTTTCAAATTTAGAATTAGGACCACGTCCCAGGGTGAGCTAAGGGGCTTTATTCTTGGTGCCTGGGAATGTCTGAAGTGTCTGTAGGATGCTAAGGGGAGTTTTCTAGTATGTAGACAGTTGGAAAAATGAGTGTGCCCTGAGCTGCTACCTGTGGCTGATTCAAAGAGCTCCTCTAGACCCAGCAACCCTCATATATATGGTACTTCAGAGAACACTCGCTGCACATCTGGGTGTGGACTAAGATCTCTGTAACCTCGGAGCCCACGTATAATGGCACTGCAGGACTTGCAGGGATTCAAACCAGCCAGAGCATCACCATCCACCACCAAGTATCTGTGGGACTGGGTAGTATCATTTCTCAGTATCAGCCCCACATAGCAGTGAGAAACAGTAGCAGCAGAGGGATCATTCCCTAAACCAGCTTGGGAAGCAACTGACTCCATCTCTGGGACCAATTTTGAAAAGGGGAGGAGATGTCCCCAAATGTACTACTACTGGAGTATGTGAGAGAAGAATGATGACTGAATTGGCACCCAGAACTCTGCTAACAGGCCTTACGAATCACACGTGGCGTACAAGGCCTTGCTTGCCCCCTCAGTCTCAGGTTTTGACACATTCTGCTGTGCACTTTGTGCTGCATCTATAGCAAACTGCCTGGAGATTTCCCACCCCTATCTCCATCAGGTACCATAAAGCATGTTGCTTGTCTGGCTACCCTTGCTCATGCTATTTCCTGAGCCTGAACTACCCTTCTACATCCTTTACTCTCATGTCCTCTGGTTAGAGTCCTGGGACTCAACTCAGGTGGCTCTTCCTCCAAGAAGCTTTCCCTGACCCTCTCAGGCTGGTGAGTTGTCTCCTGCCATGAGTCCCTTAAGACCTCGTGATTACCCTATTGCATCCATCAGTTCATGTGCCTGTCTCTACCACGAGGCCCACTGGCCCCTGAAGTGCACAGATCATGTGTCAGGACTTATCCCTTCTTGTCTCCCAGTACCTGGCCCTTTGGCCTAGCACACAGCAGATGTCCAGCAAGTGCATGTGGAATGAATGAAGGTGAATTTTGTCACTCTGAGACCACAGCCTCTTTTTTCTCCTTGACCTTCTGAATATCTAGACACCTAGTCTTTACTGAACATATCATTACCTGTCCCCCTGCCTTGCCCTTGGATGCTCTAAATTATTAACTGGTCTCCTATATACATTTACTATATGCAAAGCACTAAGCTAGGAAGTTTACAGGAGAAAGCGTAATGAGGACTACAATGCAGACCCCACACTCAAGCAGCCCTTAGAAAATTACCTTCCTCCAGCCTTTCCAACTTTCAGAGCAGACTTCCTCCTTCAGGAGGCTCTCCTAGATTTACCCCCTCTCTAGCCCACCACCACATTAAATCATCCAGTTTCCTCTCACCTTATTAGTTAAGAATATATTTCTATTGATTTCAGTGTTATTTGTCTTATGTACATTCTAACATTCAAAATTTATTTGAGGTCAGTGAATGCTGTCTAGTGTGTGTGTGTACTTTAGTTTGCATTCTGAGCTACTACTGCACACTGCTATCAATTTGTTGATTGGCAAGTTATAAGGGTTTGAAGGTTGGCCTGAAAACACAATGGAAGCATATTGGTTAAAAGACAGAGTGAGAAAATCAGGAAATGGTATGACAATTTACAATAAAAAGCAAATAATGGCATGCCATCACAAAATAATTTCTCTTTGCTGTCACTTAGGACCTTTGCTGAAGCATACACATCACAGAGTACTACCGTGTTAAATTATATATAAAGAAACATGAGGATTGATAGTCGAGTTTATTTCAACCTGTTGACAACATAGACTCCAGTCACCTCTTTCTAAGAAGGACACCCTGGTAAACCTTTGAGGCTCATCATGTTGTGAATAATTTCCTCTTCCTAGCATTAATCACCATTCTCTCAAACCTTTGAAACTAACAGACTTCACTTTGCTAGGAGAAAATCAGCTTCTGTTTCAGCCAGACTTGTAATCAGCTTTTTAAGTTGTTTTCATTTACACTTCAATCCATCAATTTGGCTTTGGAATGTGGAATTTTTGCAGTCGGCCTTTATTTTTCCATTATGTTTTCCAGTTCTGAATGCCATAAGTGAATGGCCATTTGGCCACTGGTTAGCTGCCAACAGAGCATAGCTGTACTCAAATTAAGAATTACTTGGCGTGTCATGCCAATTTGCAGAGCTGGCAGATGGACACTGACCAGAAAGGGTCAAGACCTCCAGTTATGGTAACCGCATCATTATAGTTTTATCCACTTGAGTCTTGAAGACTCTCAAAATGTAAACATTAAGCCCTCTAACAGGTATTAGAAGAGGAAAGGGAAAGGGTCTAACATTTATGGAGTACTCCCGTGTGCCAAGGCTTGTATTAGGTACATTTGTAACGTCTCACTTCACTCAATCCCCATGCTAACCACCAGGGAGTCAGTCAGATACTAGCATGAGCTTCACTTTACAGATAAGGGCGCTAAAGTTCAGAGAGGTTGTATAAGCATGGTTAGGCAGCTAGTAGATGCTAGACCTTGTATTTAAGCCAGACCTAGTAGAATCTAGATCTAGAGCTCCTTTTCCTACACCATACTGGTTCTCTTAGCAGTGAGACCAGAGCTACCTGGTCATTGCCTCTCTCTCTGCCCCTGTATCTAAGGAGGAAGCCTATTGGTCATTTTCCGTATTTTGTCATTTTGCCTAGGCCAGGCCTGCGCTGTTTTTCTTCTCTTTCCTTACTGCAATAGGCTATGATCAAACATGCTAGTCCTGACCCCCTTCCTCCCACTTCCCCCACCAACGTAACTTACTAGAATGTCTGTAGTTTACATATTGGATGAATCAGTGCATCACACAGCATTTGCACTCCAAAATCCTTGAGGTCATTTCCACTCAAGTCTAGCAATGTTAGGTTCTCCTTTATGTTGAGGACAGAGGCGAGGGCTCCACAGCACGCATCTGTGAGATGGCATTCTGCTAACCTGTGGGGGATTAGGGATTCAAGATAGCAATCAGTTTTATCCCAAGTTCCACAATGACCTGCCATTTCCTATAGAGCGTGGCAACAAGAGCTCAGTGGACAAAGTGTCCCTGCATACTTACCACAAAGTCTGTCGTTTGCAGGAAGGATGCTTCAACCCTTCACACAGCATCTGCATGCCCTCATCCCCTAAGGCATTGTCACTGAGGTCAAGGTTTCTCAGGTGTTCATTGGTGTAGAGTGCATTGCACAAATGCTGACAACACTCTCCAGTCAGGTGACAGGTCCACAATCTGCCAGGGAGTAAGGTAGAGAAGGCTGGTGTCATTTCATCTGTACTTGGGTCACTTTAAAAATTGTGACTGGGGCTGGCCGAGTGGCACGATGGTTAAGAACTGGCTTGGGACGCCAGAGGGCCCCGGTTCGGATCCCACATATGAGGGCCAGTGAC